GCTTTCCCGAAGCCGGGACTACGAATCCCAGCAAGGCCCGCGCGGCGCAGGTCTTCCGGTCGGCGTCTGACGTCTCCCCCGCACCGCCTCGGAAGTTCGGGGCGGTAGTTGAGTGGTGATGGGCACCGGCGGGCGGAGCGGCCTGCGGTCGGGCAAGGGGAGCGCTGATGGGGCGGCAGCGACTCCTACTGCTGCCTCGGCCTCCTGCCAGTACAGGTGCATCGAATGCAACCAGGCGGCCAAGGAGTTGTACCGGGACTATAACCACGGTGTGCTAAAGATCACCATCTGCGTGAGTTGTCAGCCGTGGGGGTCCGTGGGAGGAAAATAACCAGCGGGTTTGGGGAACCGGGGTCCTCTAATACAAGCTTCAGCTCCACGCTGACGTTCCCGGCTGGACCTTTGCTCCTCTCCCTCCCTTGCTCCCCTGCAGTCCCACTGGCCTGACGGTTCTGAACGAGCCAGGAGGGGCCAGGAGGGGCCTTGCGCAGGGCCTGTGCACTGTGCAGCCTGGGTGCGGCGCTTTCCCTCGGGTACCTGCGGGCTGTGCCCTCGTCCCCTTCAAGCGCTCTTTCAAACAACTCAGTCCTACTCTGGTCACCCTTTTAAAAATGACACGCTCCTCGGCCTTATCTTTTCCCATTGCATCTTTCATCTTGTCATGTTTAAAACAATTGACTTATTTATCTCTTTTATATGGGAGAGAGAGGGGCACCGTGAACAGGTCTTCACACGGCGGCCCTTCCCCTAGCCCTGCAGCTGGCAGGGTCAGGCCAGCATGTTGCAGTAGAGCAGGGACTTGAACCCTGAGCTTTCCTCCATGGTCTCCAGCATTGTGCAGCAGCATCCTACTGCCAACACCACCCTGGCTGTGCCTAATTGACTTATTGTTTATCGCCTGTTTCTACTCGAATATAAGCTACACAGGTCAGAGATTAGATCTACTTTACTCCTTAATGTATACCACCCAGAACATTGTCTGACATGGCAGGTACTCAATAAATATTTGCTGATTAATTGAGCCACTTTCACAGTTTTAGATTAGCACATTCTTGGCCTCCTGGTACAGGGAAAGAACAGTGTATTATTTTATGATCTAAACTTAATGATTTTGGACTGGACTGATTAAATGGCTTGTCTGAAAGATCATAACTACATAATTGAGAATGGGATTTATTGTCTAAAGAAAAGGTGGTATTTTGTGAATATATATGTGTGTGTGTGTGTGTGTATTAGGTAGTAATCTTTAAGAATGTCAAAGAACCTTTAAAACAAAAAAACTGGCATTAGGGCCAGTAGGTAGTGTGATGGATGAGGAACTGGAGGCCACATGGCCAACTGCGGTGTGAGGCCTGAACCCAGTGGCTTCAAAGTTGTGCAGGGCACAGGGGTGTGCCTGCCCAGTCCAAAATCCAAAGAGGAGAACAGAGGAAAGGGATTGTGGCATGGCCATGCCCCAGGGAGGTAACTTCTCACTTTCCCTCTCCCAGTCTCTGTCTCTTTGTAGCAAGCCCTGTGACAAAAACCTAAAAAGGAATTGGCATTAAACTAACAACAAAATCCCTTTTCTAATTATCAGAGGCTTGCTGCTTTCTACTTTTATTTACTTTTATTTACAGACAGACTAACTATTGGCTAGCTGCTGGGAGCCTGCAGCCACCTCCCTCTTCCCCTTCTTCCCTAACGCCTTTCTGTCCCAGGAGACAGATTTCAGGGTTTAGATTTTGGAGTCACGTTTGGGGTACTGAATAGCAGCACAGCACGCGGTTGATTTGTTTCTGTATAGTCGATTCATAGTGAGAATTTTGTCATGGTAACCAGCAGTAAACATTCTGCCAAAACAGCACCACTCCGGAAAATCATTTTGTTTATTCCAGACTGAATATTAACCCGTAAAATGGGGCCAGACAGTGGCACAGTGATAAAACGGAACTCTGCAGGGCAGTCCCACCTGGGGACAGTCCTGGTTCAGGTCTGCAGACCTCCCTGAGTGCACCAGCTACGCTCAGGGCTGAATGTAGGTGGGGCTGCAGTGTCACAGCCCTGCTGGGGCTCCGCTCTTGCTCTCCTCTCCCCATCGCTCTCCGCCCCTCTCTTGCTCTTGGAAAAAATTAATTAATTTTCAAAAAATAAAGTGATTAATTTCTTTTTTTTTTTAAGAATTATTTTATTATTATTTTTTAATTTGCCGTAGGGCACAGTCACTCACCAGAAAGAGACAGAAAGAGGGAAAGTGAGAAAGCAAGCTACCCAGTCCAGGACTCAAACCGTGTGAGCCCTGTGGGAGGGAGAACAAGTTGGTCCGACCTGACAGGAGGCGCAGCGGGCGAATGAGTTCTCAGTGTTGGTGAGACACTCAGGAGTGGGCAGTGCCCACGGTGTCCCCTCTGACCGCGGAGGCCACCTCTCCTGTTGGTGTCACGTCACCCCACCTCCCGTGCCCTCACCTACAGCTCACAGCAGCATGTTCAGTTCCCCTTCGAAACCGTCAGGTCCCAGGGACAGGCCCTGCCGCTCAGGTGAGCGTCGAGCACCCTGACGGGCTGGTCCGTAAATGGCTGAGAAGTGTGCGAGTGTCACGGTCACCCCCAGAGCATCTGTGGGACAGACAGATGGGAAGGAAAGAGCAGTCGCTGTGGCTGTTGGTGCCAAGGTCCACCCGCCTCCTTGTGAGATGCGTGCAAGTCCCGGGCTTAGACGGCGATGCTGCCTGAGGGGGCCCTCAGGGCCCTTTAAAGGATGGAGGGGACTCCTGACCCCTTAGCAGTTTCATGTTATGATGAAGTCGCGTCTCTGGCCTCCAGTTTCAGGTGTGTGAAGTGGACCCCACGGCAGGAGTGAGAGAGGGGCTCTGCAGAATAGCACATGTGGAGTTGCGGGTCCCCGTGGCTTCGGTGTAGACGCTGGCTTATTCTGCTCAGGCCCAAAGCTCTGGAAATACAACTCTCCAGGCTCCGTTTCATTGGGTGGATTTACATTGTAGGTTAATAGCACACCCCACCTTATTGGCTTACTTAAGGCTGGAAAAGCAGACCTATTCCTGGGAACGAACCTGGTGGAGAGACTGAAATGGAAGCCGATCGCGCGTGTTGTTGCATTTGAGGTGCAGGACCAACACCCCTCAGTGTCCTTCGTTTTCCGTCTAGCACTCTGAGAGGCTAGAGGCCCACCCCAGTGTGTCCCTATAGCATGGATGCCCACCATGCCTCCTGACCCTCACAGTCTCGGGGTGCTTAGTGAGCACTGCAGCACTGGCTTGCTGAAGTGTGTTCAGCTTCCCTGCCACTTTGTAGCTGGTGCCGCTTCCGCTCTCAGCTCTGTTTCCTGCCTGCCTGCCTTCTTAGCTCCTGGCCCTGCTGGGATCTGATAACGTTGTACCACCAGACCTCTAAATTGGTGACCTTTCTTGGAAAAAGCCACTTAACAGGAGTTTCTGAGAGCCTAGGAAGCCTCGATTTTGGTCTTCCGGAAGCAGGTGGCATTGGCTAGTTTTTTACACACAGCCCAGCATGCTCTATTCCATGTAGCAGAGAAAGGCTGTATTCTCTACGCCACAGAAGAAAAAGGCAGGCTTCCCGTGGTATCTGCCACCTCGGTGGCACTGGGTTGCATTCCGCGGTTCTCAGAGCTGTGGCTGCAGGGCCGCTTTGCCTCACACTTTTCTCCACCTCACGTTTCAAGAACCACAGAGCTGAGGGCCATCCAGCCCACAGACAACAGTTTATCTGTGGAAGTATATTTTAAGTTTACTTTATAACTGTTCGTTACAAATCAAAAGTAGAGTCCTTACAAATTCAAAGTAGAATTCTCTGGGATACTTTGTGGCCAAAAATCAGTCTTTAAAATCTTTTTAGCTTCTTGAATATGAGGTTGAAACGCTAATACTTCTAGCCTAGATTATCTTTAGTCATTTTTGACACCACTTCTTACATAGGTGAATGTTTTGTACCTTAATAGAAACTTATTTAAATAAATGCTAATGTGGCTTATCAATAGCCGAGGCCAAGGTGGCTTCTGCTGTGCTGCAGCCCTTCAAGGCTTCAGGATGTACGAAGTTGCTGGTTCTAATGTTGCCTTGCATTATTTCAGAATTCCTGCCAGAAACCTGTAGATAAATACATCGAGTACGATCCCGTTATCATCTTGATTAATGCTATTTTATGCAAAGCCCAAGCCTACAGGCATATTCTTTTCAACACTAAAATAAATGTAAGTTGTGATTTTTATATTTTTTAATGTTACTTGATGATACTTTTGCACTTTTTAAAAAGAATAATAAGAATTTTGATCAGAAGGATGTGGCTATTGACTCCCAACAGAGAGGGACGGTGATAAATCACCCCCCTGGGGGAATGACCATGCTGCAGTCCCCTGAGCACTCCTCCATTCTCCTGAGATTTTGGGCTTACACACGCACCTTGTGTGTTTTTCAAGCCACCAAGTTTGGGACTTGAACTATGCAGTCGGCCATGTGGGAGCCAACACCGTAGCTGCCACGCCACCTGCTGGCCCTAAGCTGTGACTCTTAACTAGAAGGGCACATTAGAATTGGCGCGGGGGGTCTAGAGCCATCCCACTGTGTCTCAGTGGGCCTGAGTGGGCTAAGCAGGTTGGGCCTTCTTAGTTCTCGGATGGGAGACTCCCAGAAATGTTTCAAAATATCATGTCTAGGATTTCCTACAGAAGATTCTGCACAGGACTGGGGCCTAGACATCGGTATTCTGAAAAGTCTCTCCGACGTGCTGTCGGTGATTGCTGATTAAGAGTCACTGGTGCATGGGAAGGAGGAGATTAGCCACTTGGTTGGGCAGTTCTGAGTTTGCGGAAGGGCTCGGTGGGGCCATCTTCAAAACCACAACTGCTTCCGTGTCTACGCCCGTGGCTATTGCGTGCAGCGAGGTTTGTTTTTTGTTATCTTACCCCTTCGGTCACCAGGCACCGCTAGCTGGACAGTCGTTTACCCCACATTGAATGCAACAGTGTTTTCTCGCCTAATCGGATGGCAATGCCTCTGCCCGTCAGATCCACGGCAAGCTCTGCATGTTCTGTCTGCTCTGCGAGGCCTACCTGAGGTGGTGGCAGCTTCAAGACTCCAGCCAGAACACCGCCCCTGACGACTTAATCAGATATGCCAAGGAGTGGGACTTCTACTGGATGTTCGCCATCGCCTCTCTGGGTATGGAGCCGCCGCGCTTGCCATCCCTCCTGAGGGCTCTCCTGCCATTCTTCATCGGTGTTACGTTGGGTTGTCAGAAAAGTTGTGACACATTTTTACATAGAAAAATATTCGTGACTTTCCGAACAGCCTGATAGTACTTAACCATTTGGATTAAAACTAAGACATGTCCTTAATCAGTGGTGAGAGGAGCCAGTTAACACGGACTCGAGGCCGCGTTTCGGCTCTACGACTGCCCTGCCAGGTGAGCTGGTCTGTCACTGGCTTCCCGACTTCCGGTACTGCATCCACGTTGGGGAACGTTACATATCAGATCAGAAAGGTCACGGAGTACTTCGAAGAGTAACATTAGTGGTAAAATTTTTGTTTTCTATTTTTGCTATAGGACTCATGTGCTCACTGAGAGAGGGGGGTGGGGGAAGAGGAAGCACCTCCTGGGGGTAGGGGGTGGCCACACCGTAACCCCTTCTCCATTCTCTTGGGACTTAAGGCACACACGCACATGTTGCTGGCTTGTTTTCATGCCGCCGGAGGGCTCTCCTGCCATTCTTCATCGGTGTTATGTTGGGTTGTCAGAAAAGTTGTGACACATTTTTACATAGAAAAATATTCGTGACTTTCCGAACAGCCTGATAGTACTTAACCATTTGGATTAAAACTAAGACATGTCCTTAATCAGTGGTGAGAGGAGCCAGTTAACACGGACTCGAGGCCGCGTTTCGGCTCTACGACTGCCCTGCCAGGTGAGCTGGTCTGTCACTGGCTTCCCGACTTCCGGTACTGCATCCACGTTGGGGAACGTTACATATCAGATCAGAAAGGTCACGGAGTACTTCGAAGAGTAACATTAGTGGTAAAATTTTTGTTTTCTATTTTTGCTATAGGACTCATGTGCTCACTGAGAGAGGGAGGTGGGGGAAGAGGAAGCACCTCCTGGGGGTAGGGGGTGGCCACACCGTAACCCCTTCTCCATTCTCTTGGGACTTAAGGCACACACGCACATGTTGCTGGCTTGTTTTCATGCCGCTGGGTCCGGGATTCAAACCTCAGTCAGCCGTGTGGGATCCGGCCGCCTTAACTACCACACCACCTGCTGTCCCTGATAAAATTCCGAATGTTTAAGTTCTGATTATCCAATTTGCAGGTGACTGAGGACTCATTGTTGCTAGAGCAGGTTACCTCGTGCATAAGACCATCCCCGTATGTGAGAGCAATGCCCCATAGGAAAACTGCTCCTTGTCTGAGGCACACTGGGAAACTGGCCAGTCTAAAATCCCTTAAGCTCAAAAGGTGCTTTTCTTCAGAATTTGAATTTGTGCCTTGTTATTATTTTTCTTTGGTCATCAGAATCATGCCGAATTAATTGCTGCAACAGTTTTGTTACTTCCTTTCCACCTTTCTCTGCTTCTAAATTCTTTGGTTCTAAGGAAACACTTTCTGGTGACGAGTCCCCACCCACTCCAGTGTGGTATTTGTAGCCATTGTCCTCTTTGGTCCTCTTTTCTTCTCTCTCTGCCCTCATGCCCGGCTGTCTCACCTGTCTGCTCAGAGCCCCCAAACGTCCCTCTCTAATCTAGGGCTTCCTCCTGACCCGCAGGCCCTGTGGCCAACCTCTCCACTTGAACAGCTAATAATCAAGCACAGCCCAAGCCCACCTCCCATGTCTGCCTGTGCCCACACCCTTCCCCGGCCAGTGGCAGGCTCCTCCATCCCTCAGGCTGCTTGAACCAGAAGCCGAAGAGCCATCCCTGCTGCCTGTTTCTTTGATACTCTGCAGTCAGGTCACCTGGAAACCCCACCGGTGTCATCTTCAAATTCACACTGCTACTGTCCACTCCCTCCACCGTCGTAAGTCCTAGGTTAGAAAGCGGTGTGGGACCAGAAAGCAGTGGTAAAACTCGACGCTCCGAGAGGCAGTCCCTCGTGGGAAGGTTGCTGTTTCAATCTGGAGACCTCCCTCCTACACCAGTGTGTCTGTGTGTCCATGAGCTGGGGCGGCTGAGGGCGGGTCCCTCATCAAGACTCTGTGGGGGTGCCCTACCCATCTCTGTCGCTCTTGCTCATTAGAGAAAGTTCAAAAAAAAAGAAAGAAAGAGATAAGGCATGGCAGTTACCTTATCTAGGCCAGCTTTCTGTCTGGTAAGGAAACGTCTCAGCTCCGGAGAGAGGGGCTAGCTCTCTGAGTGTCTCCAGCCCCTGAGATAACGCACCACGACACGGTTCTGGTGAACAAGTTCCAACACTAGTGAACACTTCGTCCATTCATGCAGCTCTTAGCACTTTTGTATTTGTTTGACCCAGAGTCTCAGCTTCACAGCCTGCTTGTCTGAGCTGGTCTTTGCAGCCGGCAAGCCCTTCAGTTCTTTTGACGGAGATAGCACTTCTCCTTGAAGAATGCATTGAATTTCAGAGGAGTTCGTCCTGAAATCTCTCTGTTGATTCTCGTCATCTGTCTACGGGCATCCTGAGTTGGGCTGTGTTGAATTATGGAACATTTAAGGAAGAGTGTAGTTGTTCCTACTATAACGTGATGTATGTGACCAAGAACCCTGACTCCACGGAAACCTCAACAACGAATGGCACAGTTATGGAGTGAATAGATAGAACGAGGGACAGACTACTCCAAAAATATTAGCTGGGTAACAAAGGACTAATAGTACTGATTAATGGCACAGGGCCCAGCAGGAGGCATGGTGGTCAAGGCTCTGGACTCCCACATGGCCAGCCATAGTTTGAGTCCTGGACCTGGTAACTTGCTTTCTCACTTTTCCCTCTCTCTCTCTCTCTCTCTCTGTGTGTGTGTCTGTGTCTGTCTCTCTCTGGTCAAATTTAAATAAATAAATAAATATTAAAAATAATAATAGCACAGTTGGGCCAGCCCCATAATACAGTGGTTACACACTAGGCACTGAAAGCTAGATCCCACATGGCTGACTGAGGTTCAAATCCCAGCTCTGACAGCTTGAAAAACATGCTGGGTGCATGTGGGTACATGCTCCAAATCCTGATGTGATGGAGACAGGGAGGAAGAAAGATTGCAGCCCTGAGGAGGGGCGCTCACGCGGACACTACCTGTCTCTCTCATGAACGCATGCATGCGTGCCCTCCAGCAACTGAAAAATAAAAGCACAGCTTTAAAAACTGTTAAACCCCTAGTCGGGCATGGAGCAGACTGCTGTGCTCTGCATACAGGGCCCCGCAGAACCACTGCCGCTGCTCTGACTGTCCTCCCATGAATGCCTTTTGGGAGTATAGAGTTTAACCCAGACATGTTAAGGGAAGTCTTCCAATTTGGGTAAGAGCATTCTAACTCAGGTGGCTAGTGGCACTCAGTAACTGGGAGAATGCTCAGAGAGAAGGGTCTTCATGGGTTCTCATTCCCAGCACGGGCCATCTTTCAGACCCAGAAGCCTCTGTTCTCCATGGCTTACAGGAAGATGTTCAAGCAAAATCCGTCTTAGAAGGGCTGTCAGGAAGGTGGTTGTAATTCTAGCAGGCTGCCGTCCCTCCCGCAGTGACGGCATGAGAGAACTGTGTGTCGACGCACATCTCTGACCTGCCGGCTGGCTCGGACACGAAAGCCGGGGGTTAAGGAAGAAAAGAAGAAAGGTTGCTATCCATGAGCATTTTCACGAAGTCAGCTGCATTCTGGAACTGGTGTGTGTGTTTAGGAGGCTGTGCCTCAGGTGAGGGCATCGTACTTACCTTTCCCACCTCCTCCCCAGAACAAATCACCTACTTCGTCGGCATTTTTACTTTCCTGTGGATAGAACGGCCCGTGACCGCGAAAGAAAGGCCCAGCCTGGTGCTGCTGCTGAAGGCGCTGCTGCTGTCCAGCTACGGGAAGCTCCTGCTGATCCCAGCTGTCATCTGGGAGCACGACTACACGCCCCTGTGCCTCAAGCTCATTAAAGTCTTCGTCCTCACGTCAAACTTCCAAGCCGTCAGAGGTACGTCTGGGTTTCTTCTCTGCCTCGGCTCTCAGCTCTCAGCTCTCAGGCCACGAGAGAGCATAAAGCCTCGTTTCTAGCACACAGATTTACGTATGAGTCCGTCGAGCACTGCTCCTTCACGGAATGGAAACGATACTTGGCGTCTCTGCCATAGGTCACGTAGAGCAGCTCTTTAGTATTTAGGGTTAACCACCAGTATAGCCCTCGTGTGCGTGGTCTTCATCCCGCGAGGTCTGCAGGGCCCCCATTATTACTTCTGTTTTATGAATGGGTCCAGGGCACTGCGAGAGCTCATTGACTTGTCTGAAATGCCACAGCCAGATAGTTGTCAAGCCGGGAGAGGGTGCCAGGTATCGGCCTCCCGACCCAGAGCGACCCCTGCTATCACGGGAAGGGGCGAGTACCCGAGGGTCTCGTCTCCCGGCCTCGGGGAGAAGTCTGTCTGAGGGAACCTGTGGTCTGACTCGCTCAACGTCGTGCCTGTCTGGAAACCGGGCCCTGGGAGCGTCACTCTGTCCCTTAGTCTCTTTGTAACCTTACCGGGTTTATTTCCTGTTTAGTATTAGGAAATCTGCCTCTTGATCTGACGAGGCAGAACTCAGCATCTCTGTTAGAAGCAAAGGCTTTGGTTCTCCCAAGGCCTGCAGCTGGGAAGGTGAGAGCAGGTAACGGCATAGCTTAGAGAGCAGGTGCGAGTTTCCCCAAACCGGGGCTACATCCTGTGCCATTCCGTGACGTTCTCAGCCTCACGCTGCCCTTCTTCCCAGTGACCCTGAACGCCGACCGCAAGCTCTCCTTGCTGGCCGTCCTGAGTGGCTTTGTGCTGGAGAGCACCGTGGTCTACTTCTTCCAGAGGATGGAGTGGGACGTCGGAAGTGACTGCGCCATCTACAGGTCTCAGGACTTCTGAGGTGTGAGTGCGTTCGCGCACCCGCCCTTCTCACGTAGCCGGGAGTGGACATGAGCAGGTACCCCCACATCCCGTGTCCTAGCACGGCTCTGCAGCTCAGACACCCCCTTCCTTAGCTTCACGTGGCTCCTAGAGGCCTCCTCTGTAGCTGCAACACCCTTCTCAGCGACGTCCACACCATGTCTATATGACACCTGAGGCCCTGTGCTCACGGCACTCGCACCTCCTGCCCGCCCATCAGGACCTCCAGCCGGGAGCTGTCCCCTCCCAGCCAAGCGCACCCCCTCTGCCTTCGTCGCCGGACTTGCGTCTGGCCCCGCGACCTCCGGCTTTGCTCTTCTGAGACCTGGAGCCTGCAGCAGTCATCAGACCCCCTGCCCATCCCATCACACATGCCACGTGCAGCCTGCGCTGGCCAGCCTCACCATGTCCCGAGCAGTGGTGACCTTGCCCTCTCCTTGCCCCCCGGCCCGCCACAGTGGCTCTCCATCAGAGGCCTGAAGCCGCACTTCCGAGACCCCCGATGCCTCATCCCGTGCCTGCCACACTTCACTGAGATTCGAGAGGGTCACGAGTCCCCGAGGTTCTTTTCCTTCAGGTCTTGTGTGTTCCTGCTGGGGTACTCAGCCTCAGGCTGTCCCTCACCTGAGTGTCCCCTCCCTCTGTCCCAGCCAGACCTGTGGATCTGAGCCTCCAAGTCAGGAAGCAGAGCCTGGGCAGAGTCTCAAAGGCTGGGCTGGGTTGAGGGCAACAGAACTGGGGAGGGAGGACAGGGGCCCATGTCAGGGCAAGTGGAGGGCACACTGTTGATCACACCCTCGTTCTGTTCCAGCCTCCCTGTGGTGACAGCGCTAAACCCTCCCGCCTCTCCCCCTCTCCTGAAGCACCACCTCTGCTCCTCGGCCTCCTCGTTGCCCAGAAGACCCTGTCTTCCTGGTGTGCAGAGAGCTGCAGCTGCTCGTGCCCTCTCCACACCATCCCCTCCGCCTACACACACACACACAGCAGAGCTTTCTGTCTCCAGCAGTTGGGTCCAGCCTACTACCCTCATTTCTTCACTGCTTTTTATAAAACAAGCCTTTGTGAAAACGGCCCATTCCCTAAAATCACAGGGAAGCCAGCTGCCAGCACCTCCCCAGAGGTGGCCCTGGGAGCTGCTGGCTCGGCCCTCCAAAGCAGATTGCCCATACCCCCCACGGGTCTTCCTCTTCACTGGCCTGCTGCCCTGCCAAGATCTCTGCAGTCTCAGCCTTTCGCCCTATGCTGCCGTGCATGTCCCTTCCAGATCTGCTGCCAGGTCACATCCCTGCCCCTGCCTCCTACACAACAGCCGAAAGTCCAGCCCTGACACAACATCAGCAGGTCCGAGCCAGAACTCCTGTCATCCCTGCCCCACTGAAACAGAGCTCTTTCCCAATTGCGTTTCCTTATTTTTTTTTTTTTTTAAGAGAGGATTTTGCTACAGGGCATGTGTACTCACTAGAGAGTCAGAGAGACAGAAAGTGAGAAATCACCCC